GGAATTCAAACCTGACTTTGACGTGCTCGTAATGCAAGGACCCGAGGTATCCTCCAGCTGAAGTCGTCGGAGTTGATCCACCGTTAGGGCTTGCCGACACCTGACCTTGCCTCGACTCTGAGGCCGACAGGTTACTTGTCGGGCTGCCCTGTTCCAGAGAGCTGGGACCGACAGAAGATTCGCGTCTGTTTCTTGGCTCTGATATTCTGAGCCAAGCGGACAGGTCACCTACACCACAATACCATGCTACCGGCACCCTAAACGTGATATGGAACGAGCACAGGACATTAACGTCTAGAGTCGGTATGTCAGTCACGCTGCCTGATACCCCGCGTCTGGCTCCTGCCTCCGACCAGTGGAGCTCGTCATCGCCAGACTTACTCGTCAAGACAAACACAACAAGGGTAACAATTGCACGCCAGGTTCTGATGCCCTCCGTATCGATGCTCAAAGCGTCATTTTCTGAGCCTCCGATCATTTTGAACCTGCAATATGGTATTCGGACTTGTGGAAAGACTTGAAAGGCGGTTGATGATCGAAACTCGAACGTCACGAGTGGCAGGCGGGGAAAATCTACCCATCCTCACTTGCTGGGCAGCCGCGGGGCTGTTCTTCTAAGATAATGACCGGCAAAAGTCTTCTTGCTACCGCAATCTATGCGCCCCCGGCTGCCGTCGTTGGGGCCTTTGGGAGGGGGGAAGGCACGTGAACCGCCAGTCTACCTTTCCTTTTCTGTATGGGCTGTTCGGAAGGCAGGAAGGTTCGAGGCATGGGCGTCCCTGCTTTTATTGGGCAGCCAGTGACGCACGGCATGGCAGGTCAGGCTCAATGTAGCTGCAAGTGAGATACATAAGGCAACTCGTGCATGAGGTGGTTGTAACGTCAGACGCACAGCCTCTTCGCCCGCGCCGGCTTATAATTCATAGCCTTGTGTTACCTCCCATATTTTGCCTATCTTGCTACCCGATACCATGGTGCGGTAGACAGGTCATGAAGGCTGCCCAATGTCGTCCGCTATTTCTTCCACGTGGTCTGGGTATTGGCCTCTATGTGTTCTTCCTTCTCGCAACCCTTCTTTCGATCCATCAGCGACTCCGTTTCCCACCTTTTATGCTGACATTTTTCTGCCCTCCACGCCATGATCGTGCCACGCTTCGACAACGACGACACGAGACCATCTGTGTCAGGCCTTCATGAGAACTCTAACCTTGCTTCTGTCTCGCATCTGCAGGTCATATGTGTCTGGCCGCTCTCAGGTCAATATGGATTTGGAGCTCGTTTGCTGTAAGTACATGTGCGCCAGCCATGTCACCGTTCCCCGATCGCCCGTCCGCCAAAGGTCCCTCATCCTTCCAGAATATGTATCCAAGTCACGGGCCGGTCCGACCTCTATTAGTCACCAGATTTGGGAGCGATAGACCTACAGTCTCTTATCATGCCGTTCCAGGTTCTATCTTCTCCTTGTCACGTGCGTCATTGCCCGAAAGATAGAGTGGCTAAGGAACACATTTCTCGCGGCCACCCTGCTCTTCCCCATCGTTGCCTCCCTTCACGGCATTGTTCTTGCGGCAAATCATGTCGATGGTAAGCTACACTGTCAAATCTCGGCTGGATGCCATGTGTTGGTAGCGCTGATACCCTACCTACCCCGTCCCAGGGGCAACAGATATGGATATATTCGGGGCATTTCAGTTATGCTCTCTCGGTATCCTCGCTGCGCCTGTGGCTGCGCGAGTGAGTCGAACTTACTTCGCAGCACCTGGTCGTAATACCATCTTTGTCTGGGTTTGCCTGAAATTGGCAGGTGGAAAATTTCTTTTTCCTTTCCCCCTTACCTTGCTTTTGAGACGAGTCTCTCTGATCTCCTCTTTGCTCTTTGATACGCTATTTCTTCGTTCTCACGAAGCTGATCCAGATCGACAGGCTTATTGAGCCTTACCATTGAATTTTATCGGTCTCAGGTTCACGACTGCCACCTCACCAACAGTACGAGTGCCGATCTCGTTGGTTCTGCTCGATTCCCCCACGGCCCTCGCACGACTTGCGGCCTCACTTGTTCAGCGGCAGATGGGCCATTTTCGGCTCTGCGGCGCGGTGCTGCCAACAATATTTATGTTATCCCAGCACCCGAATCGCTCAATTTTCACACGGCAACCCTCTTCTCGGCAGGCTGTTGCGTGCATGCTGGTGTGTGCTTACTGTACATGATGAATAAAATTTTACGCGAGAAGGCGCTTCGCGTCCAAACAGATGCAGATAGCTCCCGCGACGGTGCCCAAGACGAGGAGAGGCAACTTAGCGGTGAGGGTAGAATGGATTTCATTCATGGAGGTGTGGCCACGGCCCACAGACCTGCACAAGACGCAACGACCCTAGACCTTGAGGAGAGGCATGGTGGGGCGTTCAAACACATTTTCCGAATGCAAAGCATCCCCAGAGAGACAGTCGTTACAATCCTCAACACTGTTCTTTTTGGAGGGGCCGGCCTAGGGGTGCTTGCTGTTGGGGAGCGCAACTTCCACTCCGCTCAGCTATTATACGAGACTGAGCCATTGTCCAGCATAGGCAGGTATTCATTCTTCTTTGCGACTTTGTTTCTTCTGACTACCATCATAATGTGCAGGTCTGACTCTTATTTTCAAGGCCAGTGGTCCTCTATTGTCACCGCTGTTCTCGCCGCCCTCGGATCCTTGTACATTCCCATTCACGCCGACATGATGGCGGTGAAGAATAAAGCAACTCGAGACCTAGATCCAGATCGGACCTACAAGGTTGCCGCCTTTCTTTGCAAGTGGCAGGGCGTCTTCAACAAACAGATGGTTGGCCTGATCCTGAACAAACCCAACCCTGCACCTGGGATCCCTCGAGTGCCAGCAGAAGAGAGGCGAAATCCCCGCTTGTCGGAGACCCATGATGTACCTGCAAGGTCTAGAAGATCGAGCACCGCAGCCAGTCATGCAGACTTCGTCATGAGTGGCGGCAACGGCCACGGCCTAGAGAGACTACCGTTGCGGCAGGCAGCGACTGAGCCTTCGCCTCCGCATCCAAGACAAAGATCTGACTTTTTGGATGTTACATGTCCCTCGGTACTTTGATGCTGTTCGTAACGAACATGGACTTTGGCGAGAGGCACTGTGTGGATGGCTGAAGCGTCAACGTCGGGGCGAGAAGGGGCAGACGCCGAATGATATGTTTAATGGGAGGGGTTTTTTTTTTGGGTCAGTGTTGAACCAATGTTAGGGGATTCCCTAGGACGGTGATCTCGATAGGGGATCACCGATATGGTGATCACCGTGACCACGGATTCACAGCTCCCACGAGCACGTGAATCACAGCTTACGTGATCGGTGAATCAGAGGGGTATATCTGATTCACGTGGGTAGTGGTAATTCAGAGAGAATCAACCACATCACAAGACTTATATCACCTACCCTATCTATTCAGAGCTCTCAGGCACAGCCAACGCAATGAATCAGGGTTCACGTGGGTTCACGTAAGCAGTGAAGCCCTCTCAACAGTCAGACAATTAATCGGCACAGCGCAGACCCTCCAAGTTGTGCCCCACACGCTTAGAAGTGAAGGTAACTCT